ACACGGTTAGAAAAAATGTGACCGCAGTGGCCCAGTCAAGCAAGAAACCTTCTTTTAATTTTAGTATTTCCTATTATTAAATGTATTTTACACAAACGTCTCACCATCCCTTATCTTATGAACTGTATTATTTTACAGATGTTGGTTTTCGAGCATTTCCATGTTTAAAAAGTTGACATCTCCACTGGTGAAACTTTTATAGGACTTTGGTGTCATCAAGAATGTGTCGTTGTATCAGGAAATTTTTGGAGTCAATCTTCAAATAATCAGTTGCAGTGCAAAAGTGAGTTATATTAGTTTTATTGGGTTATAGCCATTAAAGTTAGATTGTAATCTAAGTGGAAGCCCAAGATGCAGAGGTAATTACTTCTAATGTGTCCAGAAGTCAAATAAAATGTCTGCATGTTGAATCTCATTTTCTTATCAACTTCAATGATACTATTTTTAATCACTTCTATAGTGTTTGACAAAAAAATCGGCAAATGTCCGACAAAAATGCACAAAAAATAGTTTTCTTAGCTTTCAAGATTCCTAAAATATCGGTCAATCAAAACCACCCAAAATCTGCCCTTCTTTCTTAATGATCCAAAATTAGTCTTTTTTTTTTTAAATCGCATCATTTATGACAAGATATGATTTGAATGGTTATTCTCCATCGGTAGAGCTCAATTCATTCTAGAGATGTCAACTTTTTGAAGATTTTCAATTTTCTGAAATTTTGGCAGTGCCATGTATGTCTCGAGGCTCTGACTGGACGTTATAAGTCATTTTTTTCTCTTCTTGGAACTGTCGATCAGTTGAATTGCCTGTATTTTGGGGCTCCACTTTAATTCAAACTGATAATAATGAACTCACATTATATTTTTTTTAATATCCGGAGGATTCCCTCCTTTTACGGGAATCAATCGGAACGATATTTAAAAATATTCGGGGGAAACTACTTTTATAACCTCCTTGCGAGAGCTGCGGGTATATTCCGTATATAGACTAGTATCCTATACTATTTTTATTTATATTAATCACTTATTTCTTTCTGTTTATTTCTGCATTGAAAAAGGAAAGCAAGACCCTGTTTGTTTGTTTGTTTTTTGTTTGTTAAGGAAAGATGGTATTTCTGCGTCAGCTTTTCAATCTAGAAAAAAGTGGATTTTTAACTTGTAATGAAATAATTAAAAGGCGAAGTTCTTGATGCATTATATGAACCTCAGGCCAGCGGGCATGAATTCCTAGCCCAACCCCTGGTGACAGTGAAACATGACCCCCACCCTTCTTTCTGTCATTAAACCATGTCGCGGCCATTTTAAATTGCCCTCCCTAACCCATGCAATGAAGTGATTATACCGCGGGAAAATGAAAGAAGAAATGAAAAAAAAAATAGTTTAGAGGGAAACAGAGAAAGAAAAAAGGGGGGATTCCAGACACCATCATCGTCGAAACACAAGGCTATTGTTTGCTCCGGCAGAGACAAAGCGGCGGCCATTTGTCACTCCTTTGTGCATTTTTCGCTCCCCCACCATTCTTTCGATGGTAGTGTTTGGTTGGAACTGCGTCGCAACAGCGGCCATCTTGGAGACACGGTCCATTGGGGACAGCATGCGGACATAATGAAAAAGGAGGGGGGGTTTATAATAAGAAACTTGGTACTTTGGTGTCCTGAGTTTCCGTGAAGACATCAACCTTGATTCCGGTGCTTTTTCTTCTTTCATTTGACACTGCGATGGAGGAAGAGTTTTTTTTTTTTTTTTTTTTTTTTTNATATGTTTTGGAAATTGATGTTACGAAGAATTTCGTTGGGCTGCAACTGGGGTAAAATTTCACCCTATTCCAAGGTTGTTGTAATTTCTGAGCACACACAAAATATTTGCAAAAGTGCTTGAGTTTTGCGTACAAGAGCTTAGGCAGAAGTGTAGTTTTTTGATAGAGACAGGAATCAGGAAAGCTGTATTTCAAGGACAAATAACAGCTAGTATTAGGATTTGGCAATAAAAAAGAGCCTTGGAGGCTTTCAGAAATGATGGGTGTGAACCAAGGTCTTTCCCAGAAATCCCAGTTCACACAAAGATGAATGAAGAAGAGTATTTTGAGAGATCGGATTTTAGATTTGGCAAGACAAATTGTATTCTGCCGTTTATTTTTGCGACAGATGGGTTTAAAATATAAAGTTGTAAAACTATTCAATTTAGACGTGGTATATTTTATTCAATATTTTCTGGAACTGCAGCGCCAGCAAATTCCTCTGATACATGCTTTTTCAGATGTACAGTACATGCTGGAATTGAGGAGTGAAGTTATTTATATCTTCCAACCTTTTTTTTTTAATAAATGCAAAAGGGAAGACACTTTTTAACCATTACTTTTTCGGTAGTGAACACGTGATTAAAGCTGTCCATTTGAAAATTATACATTTAGTAAATCGATAAATTACTATTTCCTTTTTATTGTACTGCACTTTATGGAGTCGTTTTGTTGCAGTTGGAAACCGAGTTGAAGGGCTTCTCTGAAATTAGAGTGGCTTCAGTATTGAACTTATTACTGCGGATCTTGCAATTTTAATAATTTAATTTTAGATAATAGAAAAGTATAGGAAATTAACACCGAAGTGGCTCACGAACAGAGACTTAACCAAACTTCAAATATGACGAATCCAGATGTGTCAAATAATTCCAACAGCAAAAAAATGAAGCTGATGTCACTCCGCAACTTTGAAACACGCTTGTCCTTCAGCATCCACAACTTGTCAGTAAAATAGGAAACCAAAAATTTTTTTTCAGGTAAAATGGTTCCTTCAATTGCAAAATATTTTTTTGTGGTTATAATGCTGGAAATTTTTAAATAATTTCTTAATAAATCCTTTTTTAATAAATCTCAGGTGAAATTCTTGCTCGTTCTAAGGATCTAAAAGTTTCAAGCGTGAATGTATTCTACTTCTTATTCAAGTTTTTTTTGCCTATTTTCAATTCTTTCAGCTTAGAGGGACCCTCAAGAAACAAATCCACAAATTCGTCTTATAACCTGCAAGCGATTTATTTCATCAATAAAATTGCTTTTCGAGACCTGAATCAATAATTAATCATCCCTTCAGCATGACGTTGACCACGGCAATTCTTTGAATCAGATATTTCAAAAATATTTGTAAATCACGCGTGTTTACGTCAAAATTCCGATTGTGTGAAACCGTTTCTCTTCTATTCTTTTCTAGTCCTGATTTTTTTGCTTCCTTCAAAAATGAAAGCTCGAGTCAAGTGAAATAAGGAAAATACTTCCCCCCCCCCTCCCCAAATTACACCGTTTTGTGTTATATGAGGAAAAAAGGAGAAATACAAATTCTGCCATACCTCCAAAAACAACTTTAGCAGGAAGATCATGACGAAGGTTTACACCTGCCGTTTGCCCAGGTTTATTTTTCCACGGAATGAATCCACATGCGGATGACGGGAAGCGATGAAGTGTGTACTCGTTTACATTTGCCCTGGAAAGGGCCAATCAGCAATTTCTGGGCTTCGATGGATGCGACGGAGAAATCAGCAAAAATGTCCCAATTGTAAACCAAAGAAAAATATCCACACCGCCTGTTTTTTTGTTTTGTTTTTGAAAGAAGTTGGAAATTTAAAATGCATATTATCTGGGGAAAAAATTAGGCATCAACGGGAAAAAAGTCAGTGCATCCATTTAAATTCGCGGTCGAAAAGAATTAAAATACTGTACTGCTAATTAAATACGGTACAATAAATACTGTAGGAAATAAATACTGTACATTCGTTGTATGGAATTTAAGATTGCATAAAAATTGTATGTTGAATTACTGAATATTGTCATAGAATTTAATGTGATCGGATTTTTTCTATAAAATGGTTTCGGCAACAACGACATCAAGACAAGAATAAGTCTTCTTATCCTACACCGAAGCGATAATCACTTCACATCGTAATACACTAAATAATTATTTTAAGTCCTCTTGAGTCTCATTGCACATCACTTGGATTTTTTCGGGAATACTGACTTGCGAAATTCTTTTGAAAATATAAAGAAACGATATCCTTTGCGGGAACATTGATAATTCGTGGTAAAAAATAAAATAAATCCATTACTCCTATTTTATGAATCAAATTCAAGAATGCAATTCTTTTTGTTGATGGCCGAATGCAGATGGCATGAATAAATGAAATTGGATTACAGAATGTCATTATTTTTTTCAAAAATGAGGTTTGCGTACAGTGATATTAATCGTAAAAATGAAGTACTTCACTGTATTTCTGATCCTGAGACACCAGGATCTTCTCCACAACGATAATCCCTGTATAATGAAACAATCCAAATAATCCTCTCGAGTTTCGTTGTCGAGAAACCTCACTTGTATTTCCGACAACAGACCACGGACTTGCGACATTCCATCAAAAAACCAAAAAAATAAAAACATGGAGAAACTGACATCATTCCAAAATTTCAGAAGAAAAAGCGTTGCTAAATTTCGACGTGCAATGTGAACACGCACTTTTTTTCTTTTTAACCCAATCACTGCTGGTTATTCAGGCTTATACTGTCGTGGCTGTAAATTTTCCGATCGTCCCTCGTTAGAGTAGGTTTGGCTTCGAAAAAAGGCAGCTGGCTGGCGAGCAAAACGTAATCACCAGATGATGGCTAGGCAGCGTTAATCGTTGGTGTCGACTGAACGGAACCCTCCGTGATTAATTGCTCATTGCGAGTCGCTTGCTTCGTGACGTGTACCAGAAACCCCCTGTTGAGAACAGGAATCGTTGTCTTGTTCTAATGGAGGAAAATAAAGAGCCGAAAGAAAACGCAGGACAAAAAAAAAACGAAGAACAAGAAAATGTTACAAAATTCATGCTCGATGGTTGCGTAATAAAGTATGCAGATGAAGGGCTAGTGTGATTAGACGACTTTCAGTTCTAATTTGCCGAATAATCTGGCCATCAATCAAGAGCAAATGTGTTTTTTTTCGAGAATGAGAAAGTCTTCATACAGCTTTCTTTGATCTTGCCATGGGTTTGCAGAAAGGTAAAACCACTGAATTGAAGTGCTCTCACAACGTTGTGGACGACAACAAAATTGTAAGAAATTTTCGAGCTTTTGCCTCAAAAGTTGGAAAATTTTTAGATTTTGAAGCTTGATAGATCGTCTGTCACTGTTATGTTTTTAGTTGTTTTTGTGAGATCAATAAACGCCTTAGAAATTATCTGACGGAGAAGAATCAAGTGCTTTCTTTTATGCGTGGTTTTAAATGCATGAAAAAAGCATTGAAACTTAATCCTATTTTTTTTGGCCAGCTGATTTCAGTGGCTGCAAATTAAAGTCCAAGTGTGCAAATTTATGTTCGAGATTTAAGAGGAAACAAGGAAAACAGAATGCTGATGGTGAATTTTAATAGATTAATCGGAGGAAATTGTTTGACATTTCGATTCGCAACTAGATTAATTTCGCCGAAAACAGTAAAAAGTAATTTTGAAGTTTTATTTCGAACACGTTCTATTATTCTTATTAGGGTTTGGAAGTTTCAAAGGGGATGCACATTTTTTGAAAGGCACACTCTGAGACCATATACTGTACCCTGATTCTTCGAATTTCAAAATTAGAATGAAGGTACCTGAAATATATACAA